ATCGATTATTTGAAAATAATCGATTATAATCTATTATATATTTTCAAATATAATCGATTATTGGAAAATTTAATCGATCATAATGAAATATGTGGTTATATATGATAGCGGTTCCACTTGAACCGCTCTTAAAAGTGAACATCTAATAACGGTTCAACGTTAACCGCTATCTAAAATATATTTTAGATAGCAGTTAACGTGGATTATATATTTTCAAATATAATCGATCATTTAAAAATTTAATCGATCATAATGAAAACTTACATTAACTATTTTTTTGAATATTATGTTTTTAAATTTGCTAATAGAGAAAACGTTTCAGAATTCAAAATGTTAAATACTTTTAAATATTAAAATTGACTTTATAAAAAATTAGGAAAAAAAATTAATCCAAAAGAGTTCAAAAATGTATTATAATATTTTCAGTTTTAGTTTAACTATATTTTTCATTCTCAAAGTAGAAAAATATATTGTAATTATTTTAATTTAATAAAATATAATTTAAATTTTTAATACTAAAATTAAAAGATTAAATAATGATAAATTTATTTCTTTAAATTTAGTATTTAGAAACTAAAATTATAGTTTCTCTATTTTAAAAAATTAAAATAAATATTTAAAAATAAAAAATAAAAACTAGTAATATCTTAAATTTATTAAAAGTATAATTAAATTTCTATTTTCTTAAAATTTTTTATTAAACTTCTCAATTCTACATTTTTTTAAAATTCTATCATTATATTATCATCTTCATCTCCTCCCATTTTCTACTTTATCTTTACAATAATTAATATTCTTAAATAATTTATATTTTATTTATAATTTTTTAATATATATTTGAGAAATTAATCAATTATAATATATTATTTGAAAAACTAATCAATTCTAATCAATTATTTAAAAAACTAATCGATTATAATTAATTATTTGAAAAAATTATCGAATATAATCGATTATTTGAAAATAATCGATTATAATCTATTATATATTTTCAAATATAATCGATTATTTGAAAATTTAATCGATCATAATGAAATATGTGGTTATATATGATAGCAGTTCCACTCGAACCGCTCTTAAAAGTGAACATCTAATAACTGTTAAACGTTAACCGCTATCTAAAATATATTTTAGATAGCGGTTAACGTGGCATTATATATTTTCAAATATAATCGATCATTTAAAAATTTAATCGATCATAATGAAAACTTACATTAACTATTTTTTTGAATATTATGTTTTTAAATTTGCTAATAGAGAAAACGTTTCAGAATTCAAAATGTTAAATACTTTTAAATATTAAAATTGACTTTATAAAAAATTAGGAAAAAAATTAATCCAAAAGAGTTCAAAAATGTATTATAATATTTTCAGTTTTAGTTTAATTATATTTTTCATTCTCAAAGTAGAAAAATATATTGTAATTATTTTAATTTAATAAAATATAATTTAAATTTTTAATACTAAAATTAAAAGATTAAATAATAATAAATTTAATTCTTTAAATTTAGTATTTAGAAACTAAAATTATAGTTTCTCTATTTTAAAAAATTAAAATAAATATTTAAAAATAAAAATAAAAACTAGTAATATCTTAAATTTATTAAAAGTATAATTAAATTTCTATTTTCTTAAAATTTTTTATTAAACTTCTCAATTCTACATTTTTTTAAATTCTATCATTATATTATCATCTTCATCTCCTCCCATTTTCTACTTTATCTTTACAATAATTAATATTCTTAAATAATTTATATTTTATTTATAATTTTTTAATATATATTTGAGAAATTAATCAATTATAATCTATTATTTGAAAAACTAATCAATTCTAATCAATTATTTAAAAAACTAATCGATTATAATTAATTATTTGAAAAAATTATCGAATATAATCGATTATTTGAAAATAATCGATTATAATCTATTATATATTTTCAAATATAATCGATTATTTGAAAATTTAATCGATCATAATGAAATATGTGGTTATATATGATAGCAGTTCCACTGGAACCGCTCTTAAAAGTGAACATCTAATAACGGTTACACGTTAACCGCTATCTAAAATATATTTTAGATAGCGGTTAACGTGGATTATATATTTTCAAATATAATCGATCATAATGAAAACTTACATTAACTATTTTTTTGAATATTATGTTTTTAAATTTGCTAATAGAGAAAACGTTTCATAATTCAAAATGTTAAATACTTTTAAATATTAAAATTGACTTTATAAAAAATTAGGAAAAAAATTAATCCAAAAGAGTTCAAAAATGTATTATAATATTTTCAGTTTTAGTTTAATTATAATTTTCATTCTCAAAGTAGAAAAATATATTGTAATTATTTTAATTTAATAAAATATAATTTAAATTTTTAATACTAAAAGATTAAATAATAATAAATTTAATTGTTTAAATTTAGTATTTAGAAACTAAAATTATAGTTTCTCTATTTTAAAAAATTAAAATAAATATTTAAAAATAAAAATAAAAACTAGTAATATCTTAAATTTATTAAAAGTATAATTAAATTTCTATTTTCTTAATTTTTTTTTTAAACTTCTCAATTCTACATTTTTTTAAATTCTATCATTATATTATCATCTTCATCTCCTCCCATATTCTACTTTATCTTTACAATAATTAATATTCTTAAATAATTTATATTTTATTTATAATTTTTTAATATATATTTGAGAAATTAATCAATTATAATCTATTATTTGAAAAACTAATCAATTCTAATCAATTATTTAAAAAACTAATTGATTATAATTAATTATTTGAAAAAATTATTGAATATAATCGATTATTTGAAAATAATCGATTATAATCTATTATATATTTTCAAATATAATCGATTATTTGGAAATTTAATCGATCATAATGAAATATGTGGTGAGCTAAGTAACGCGTTGGACATTTATATATGATAGCGGTTCCACTGGAATCGCTTCAAAAGTGAACATCTAATAGCGGTTCCACGTTAACCGCTATCTAAAATATATTTTAGATAGCGGTTAATGTGGAACCGCTATTATATATTTTCAATATAATCGATCATTTGAAAATTTAATCGATCATAATGAAAACTTACATTAACTATTTTTTTGAATATTATGTTTTTAAATTTGCTAATAAAGAAAACGTTTCAGAATTCAAAATGTTAAATATTTTTAAATATTAAAATTGACTTTATAAAAAAATTAGGAAAAAAAATTAATCCAAAAGAGTTCAAAAATGTATTATAATATTTTCAGTTTTAGTTTAATTATATTTTTAATTCTCAAAGTAGAAAAATATATTGTAATTATTTTAATTTAATAAAATATAATTTTAATTTTTAATACTAAAATTAAAAGGTTAAATAATAATAAATTTAATTCTTTAAATTTAGTATTTAGAAACTAAAATTATAGTTTCTCTCGTTTTAAAAAATTAAAATAAATATTTAAAAATAAAAATAAAAACTAGTATTATCTTAAATTTATTAAAAGTATAATTAAATCTCTATTTTTTTATGTAAATTTAGAAAATTTTTAATGAAAATCGAATATATAAAAAAGTTGAAAATTTTAAAAGGCACAACCTTAACTTATATTAACTGTTTTTTTGAAAAAACCGACAAGAAAAACTTGGCTTTGAAAAAAAAAAGTTAATAGTTTTGAAGTTATTTCAAGTGATGAAGTTTCCAAATGTGATCTATGAATTTATTGAGTAAAATTGGAGGTAGGTTGAATATAAATTTAAATATATTTTTAATTTATTTAAATATGGTTTATTTTTAGTATTTATAAAATAGATTAGTTTTAAATTTTTAACTTTTCTAGCAGTCTATTTTTAATCTTTGTTATTAATTATGTTAAAAATGAAAAAATATTAATTAGTATACTTAAACTAATGTATATTGATTATCTAATGTATATTGATATAATTTTTTTTATATCAATTATATGAAAATAACTATGGTTAAGTAATTAATAATAATAAAGCAATAAATTTAAATATTAGATTAAAAATAAAGTTTTATAAAATAAAATTGTAATAATTTGATTAAAATTTTATTTTTTTTAATTAATTAAGTTAATGAGGAATTAAAATGTTATCATTTGATGTGTTTAATTTTTTTAATATAAATTTTTAAAATTTAATTTAATTTAATTGAAATTTTCAATTGAAAAATAAATTAAAGAATATTTATTATTAAACTTTTCTTAAACAATGTATTGAATAGTTAATATTACTCTAGTCTTAATTTATTATAATTTAAATTTTTAATAAATTTGATTTATTTTTAATAATATTTTTATTTTAGTAATTTAAAAGTAAAGTTTATCTTCATTTTGTTAATATTGAGACCAAAGTTTATTTTTAAAGTTTCTTTTAAAAATTAAATTATTTTTAAAAAATAAATTACTTTTAAAAAATAAATTGTAAAAAATATACTAAAACAATTAAAGTATATTTATAAAAAAATAAATTTAAATATAATAAAAAAATAATGTTCATTAGCGACCGATTTAAATTCGGTCACTATTTTCTCATTAACGACCGATTTTAATTCGGTCACTATTTCAATTTGTAATTCGGTCGCTAAATGATTTTTTTTTATTTTAGTGTGGAATAGCCACCGATTTAGCGACCGAAAATTTGCGACGCAAACTATTGGTCGCTATTTCGGTCGCTAACTAAAAAATGTGAAGCCAAATTATATTTCGGTGGCTAAATCGGTCGCTAAATTGTGACCGAATTAATTTGGTCGCTAATTCGGTTTCTAATAGAGATCGAATTAAATTGGTCGCTAAATCGGTTGCTAATTGCGATCGAATTAAATCGGTCACTAATTGCCACCGAAAAAATTCGGTCGATAAATGTGTTTTTTCTTGTAGTGAATTTGTGTTGGAAATTTGAAATGGAGGTCAGGAGGTGGATTGGTTGAATCTCTCTTCGCCCGTTGCAATATTATCTCTATTAATTGCGAAAATGTGAAACCTCTATGAAGTTGAACCATGATACAGGTGTCAGACTTAAACAAAACACCATTTTCTGGGTTAGGAATCATGTCACCATTATCATAGATGCATGCAAACATCTTTGGTGCCATTTGAGGAGGAATAAGATTCTGATGAGTGGTAGCAAAGAAAAGTTTTGAAAAACTATGGTTTGAAATTTGTGGTAAGATCTCCCTCTTTTATAGCCAAAAGTTAGGTGATCATGTGACCCACACCACACCTTATGTCATCGTGTGACTTGGATATTTCCTTGTGTGATCATTTGACTTACACATAACTTTACGTGATCATGTTAATACAATTTTTTTTACACAATGATAAACATAAATAAGATTAATCGACTTAACATAAATGATAATATTGGATGAATTGAAATACTCATTACACATGACAAGAAGAGTGATAACATAAGGTTCATGGATTTTGCATAAATCAAGGTACATGATCATCAATATAAGTTTAGTGACTGATTGAAGTTATTAGCCAAATCATAATAAACTTCAGACGGGGTTGCACTTTGGTGGATTTTTGTAATAAATGTCATGATCTCAACATGAACTTCTGTAGCTTGTTCTGTTGCCATTAAAAACAATGCCTCGACATCGTCATCTACAAATATCTTACATGATCTATAATGTGCAGTGGTGGCAGATATGAAAATTGGTAACCTGTATTGTAAGTTGACTTCATAATCATTTACTGTTGACATGTTGAAGTGGTTGAGAATAGTTTGTTTCACTTCGACCATAGTCATTGTGTTTGTTATGGTCACCCAAGCCGTTTGAGAGCTAATGTATGTTTGAGAGTAGTTTTCTTCCGTTAAGATGTTGCCGTTGAAGTATACCAACACTGTGAAAGTTGTAGATGTCATTGTTGGTTGCATTACCTTGTCACTGAGTTGATTGGTCGAAAACCTATAAGTTACTCTATTTATAGCACAATTGTTCACTTGGACCAACAACAATGATAATTCCACATACGTGAACAATGAATCTATGGAGATGAACGCATATGATTTAGATCCACACTGCACAAGGTCTGACCACCATGAATGACGCGTGAAGGCTTTAGTCCATGTGACAAAGTCCTCCAACTTTAATCTGAGGGTTGAAATTAAATCTGTGGAGATGAATGCACATCATTAAAATCCACATTGCACAAGGTCTGACATGGTTTTATTAAAGCATGATCGTGTCATTATGGCTGAGCAGTATGCCTTATGTAGTGGATCTGAATCCTGTGCGTTCAATTTTTGTGTTTTCAATCGCAGCTGTTAACTAAAAAAACATACACTGTCCATTATGACACTATAAATAATGGTATTGTGTTATATCATAACTCTCCAAACATGATGACTATTATCATGCGTTGACTCAATCACTCTCTCAATCAATGCTCTCACATGCACTCTTGACAAAGCCGATGACTATTATGTCATTTTAAAAATATTATTTTACTACTTTCAACAATAAATCTAAATATATTATTAAGCTAAAAAATATATAAATCTTTTTAAAACTATAATTTAAAACTATAAATTTTAAATAAAAAATTATAATATTATATATATATATATATATTGTTTTACTTAATGTATATTTGAAAAACTAATTGATTAGTTAAAAAACTAATCGATTAGTTTTTCAATTACTGGATTATAATCGATTAGTTTTTCAATTATTGGATTATAATCGATTAGTTTTTCAAACAACCTATTACTTTTTCAAATAATCAACTATAATCGTTTAAATTTTCAAATATACATTAAATAATTATAAATAAAAATATATATTAAATTAAAATAAAATAAAATAAATATTTATAAATTATATATATTATATAAATTATATATATATATATATTACATTAATTAAAATTACATATATGAACTTTAAATTAATTAATTAATTATATATAATTATAAATATAATTTTTTTAAATTGATAATTTTTTATTTTAATTTATGCAATATATATATATATATATATATATATATATTTGCATAAATTAAAAATTAACAACTTTAAAAAAATTATTATTTTTAATTATAATATATATATATATATATATATATATATATATATATATCTTCCAAAATATTACAAAATACAAAAAAAAAAAATAGAGGTGATAGGTCTTGTGTTAATGGCAGGGTACATGTGAGGGCATTGATTGAGAGAGTGAATGAGTCAATGCATGTTAATAGTCATCAGCTTTTACAGTAGGAATAATTCATATCTCCCTCGTAGGCACACTTACCAAATAAAGTTGATATGTCTTCTCTTAGTGGCATCGTGCATGTGAATGCATTGATTGAGAGTAAATGAGTCAATGCATAATAATAGTCACCAACTTTTGCATTAGGAATAATTCATATCTCCCTTGGCACGACTACCCAATAAAGTTGATAGATATTGTCAGGGACGGATCTTCTTGGGAGCTGAGGGGGGCCGTGGCCCCCCCAAAGTTTTGTAACTCCCATGTAATTTATGATTTGACCCTCCCAAACTTAATGAACATTTAATATATTTACTTGTATATTTACAATTTTATCATCCCAGCCCCTCCTCAGTTTTGTAACTCTCATATAATTTATGATTTTGTCCCCCTCAAATTTAATGATCATTTAATATATTTAAGTATATATTTACAATTTTATCCTTTCACCCTTTCATCTTCTTACTTCATTTTATATTTATTTATTATTTATTAATAATATATTATTTGGCCCTTCCAAGATCAATGGTCAAGATCCGCCACTAGGTATTGTCTTAGTGGCTTGGTGCATGTGAGAGCATTGATTGAGAGAGTGAATGAGTCAATGCATAGTAATAGTTTATTGAATGTGTAAGTTATTAAGATAATAATTTAATTTAATGTGTAAGTTATTAAGATAATAATTTATTGTATTTGTAAGTTATTAAGATACGAATTTTTTTGAATTTGTAGGTTTTTTATTCATCATTTGCAAAGTTTATATAACAAACCCAACATAAGGTAGCTAAATAAGAACAGTTCAAATACTAAAACTAAATATTTGTTATTTAATCCCCATAATGGTGTCCAGTTTCACATCGAGGTCGCCTTCTGTTCCTAGTTGGGTTCCTCCTTCCCTGGGGCAGTCTAAGTGCTTCTTCCTCTAAAGGTTGGGCTTCATGATGCTCTACATCTTCATGAGCTTTATATGTGTCGGAGGATGACACCGTTTCATTATGATATTGGATATTATAAGGGGATTGTTGATAAGGTCCTTCAAAACCCTGTGCCGAAGGTGGAGTTGGGGCATACGCTCCAAAAATGCTTGGCATTCCAAAATCAGAGAAGGAAGAAATTGAATGTCTTCTTTCATCTATAGTTCCTTCTACTTCTGGAGTGTTGTAATTGGGCTGAATGTCATCATGTTGAGGAGGTTCTGCATGTGTTGAAGTCGATGCCCGATGCATCCTCGGGTCATGTAACATTTGTGGAATGGACAAATACAAAAATGAGTTTGCCACAAACCACGACATATACTCACTACTGTGGAAAAGTGGCCCTAAAAGTGGTAATCCAATCAATGTCAGATCACACCTGTTCTTCCATATGTCTATCCATTCCGCATGTCTAGTAGCCCAATTCTCGTCTTGTCTCCCCCTCATGTCTACTTTATGTAGATCATCAAGGTTGTTGGGTGAGTCAGAAACATCTTGTACCAGACGAAATTGTAACTTCACCCTGTCTGACTGGTGTCATTCAACAATTGAAAAACAAAGTAAACTTGTGCAAGAGATCCACAATGCTTGGTCCCTGTATGCTTCGGCAGGAATGATTGACTACAATCCCTCATACGGAAGCCATATAAACTATGTCAACAATACTAAAGTGAGAAACTTAGTAAATTATGAACATTAAAAAGTGAAGTTAAAAATATAAGTGAACCTGGTTAGGTTCATTGTGGTCTATCCTTGATCGTTAGCCAAGTAAATCATTTTGGGGAACATTTTGATAGTTCAGTACACGACCCCCGCTCCATCGGCATACAAGGGGGAACGTCAATTGAGTCCGTGAAATTGGTGCAATAAAGGGCATACGAAACCATGCCCAGGACTGTAATAACGACGCACATCCACCCATGGTCTTCGCACGCTGATATGTTGCTCTACACATCTCCCTGTACAATATAGCTAAACAAGCAGAACCCCAACTATATCGTCGAGTTCTGTATAGATTACTTAAAAATTTCAAGTACATTAAGTGTACCTTATTACCAGTTTTATCAGGCATTAAAATCCCTCCAATCAATCCTAATATATATGCCCTTGCATGGGCATGTATTTCCTGTATATTTGATTCCTCTTGTAATGAGACCATATTTTCCTTAAGCCACTTTAACTTCACCATAGACCCTATCAGGGACTCCCCCTTTGTAGGGATAATACCTAATAACGTATGAGACATGTCCTCCCAATCAAACATCGTTGGTCCAATCACAGGTAGACCATCAATTCTAAGCCCTAATTGAAGTGAAACATCTTGCAATATTATTGTGCATTCTCCTGTTGGCAGATGAAAAGTATGTGTCTCAAGCCTCCACCTCTCCACCAAAGCTGTAACTAAAGCATGATCTACCTTTAAATGTCTTAATTTAGCAACACCGCCGAATCCAGCTTCTTCTATTATAGGAAGAAGAAGAGGATGTGGTTCCGACATTGAATGACAGTACGACAACACAATACTTTGTTCTGCGTCCTATATAGCCAAAAAATAACATTGTTTAATGAGAAAAAAATAACTTAAACAATAATAACAATAGAACTAACATACCATCAAAGTAGTGTAGGTAGCTTTGTATTCTTGTTGTCTCCACAACAACATTTTGTTAACCTTCTTTCTTCAATCTTGACTAACACTCTTGTAAAAATTGTAGTATATGATTATGATGACTGTCAGTGGCGGATCTTCTTGGAAGCTGAGGGGGGCTATGCCCTCCCCCAAAGTTTT